CTGATCATGGTCTTCACTCCTCTAAACGCCAAAACCACAGAGCGTCCCGCCGACCACCTACCTCACCAGCCTCACACTACACCTCCACCACCCACACACCCGCCCATACCACCCAAAACTATATTCTCACACCTCTATCTGCCCAAATCATCTTCCTTACAACCTCTAAAAGCGTAAATAAAGTTGGGAAAAAAATGGTAGAATACTGAGATATACTGTCAGCGAAGAAGCTGACTGTCTGGGAGAGCTACCGGGGGAAGGCGAGTCAACCCAGGCGCGGGGAGGTGAAATAACAGGGCCACGGAGCCACTCCAACATTAATTACAGATATTGACTCATCTCTTTAGATGATGGCTTGATATCTCCCCACAAGCCACTGGTAATAATCCCACACTTAGCGAGTTACTGGCCGCTACTCAGAGCTACGTGTTAGACTTCCTGCCAAAGGTGGACATCTTCTCTTACTGGCGGACGACAGCTTCCTGCAGGAAGGCAGAAATTAACAGGAACAACAGTGGTATTAACAACATTGTGCGGCGCTAGACGCAACGCTTTAAAAATCAGACATGGTCCAGTGTAGAGAACACAATACCTGCTCAACACTGCGTCACCAGCAGCAAGGAGACGAGGACCTGGTGACCTGTGATCCCACCAGTTAGATCACACTTGGTGACCTGTGACCCCCGTCAGGTAAGGCCCGGTGATTTGTGATCTCCATCAGGTCAGACCTAGTGACCTGTGACCCCCATCAGATCAGACCTGGTGACCTGTCATCCCCGTCAGGCTGTAAACGGTACATGTACCAACTCTGACACTCCTTTGGAAGGTAAGTCCGCGTCACCACATGGAGAAAACCCGGGCCAGGACTCGTCCTGGCAAATCTACCTGAACCTGGAATAATCACAAGTGATGACACAGTTGCTGCCAGAGATGAGGCCACAGTTTAGGCACTAAGAAACAAGCACCCAACCAGGGAAACAAGTGTCACCAACAACACCCTCGCTGGTGATCCCATCAATAGGGTTGTTTTTGCTAGAATAAGAAGTTTATAAAGCGATTGTGTGATTTCCAGCAGGACCTGCTGGAAGTTACACTGGAATACGACCACAACACAATAAAAATATGGTAAATCCAGTACTTGGCACGGCTGCAGCGATTCTTCTTTCTGAATTAATAGCCTTCGTCAACAACTATCTGGCGAGGCGGATTCTTGATTCAACCAAACCCTTTTTTTCGGAGCCTCGTGCTTTGAAAAAGAAGTATGGGGATGTCAGATCCATCGCTGTTGGTAACACTCTTCGCCGTCTCGTTGTCAAAGCAGCAGTGAGAAAGAAACATTCGCAAAGAAACTACCAACTTGCTTCAGCCAAACAAACTTGGCTTTGGGCTCTTTCAAGGAAGCTTTTGCAGAAGAGCTTGCATCATGTACTTACCAGAAGACAAGGCCTTTGTCAAACTATACTTCAGGAATGCTTTTAACCTGGTGAAAATAAACGTGGTCTTGGTAGCCATTCGAGAGCAGTTTCCTAATCTTTTTCCCTTTATTTCAACTGACTACACCAAAAATTAAATTCTTTTATTCGACAAGCATGAGATCTCATCAGAGAGTGTTCAGCAGGGAGACTCACTCGCTCCGTTCCTCTTTTGCATAGCGGTAAGAAAACTCACATCTAGCTTGCACAGAGAATTCAGTATCAGGTACCTGGATGATGGCACTCCTGCAGCAACGGAGGAGTCCCTTGTAGAGGACTTTCAACCGGTGAAATCTCAAGGAGAAGCTTTGGGACTCATCCTCAACCCTTCGAAGTGTGAAATTATCTCGACAAACCAGGAAATAATTACAGCTGTGCGAAAAATCGTACCAGAAGCCTCGACTACCACCCGTTCGAAGAACATTCATTTGGGAGCACCGCTGGGTCGTCAGGTTATCAACACAGTCCTACAGGACAAAGTGAACGACTTGAGGAGGATGGAGGAGAGAATAAGTTATCTGGATGCCCATAACGTCCTGTATCATCTCACAAGGTGTTTAACTCTCCCAAGACCAACTTATTTCTTGGGGTGTGCACCTATCTTCAACAACCCAACACATAGTGAACATGCACTTCTGAGATCTATCTTTAGGAAGGCACTGAATTTGTCACTGGAAGATCACTAATGGGATCAAGCAACACTTCTAGTGCGACTGGGAGGTACAAGGGTGCGCAAGGCAGCATAGGTAGCATTACCTGCATTTCTGACCTCATACATGGTTTCCAGTGAGCTGAGTGGTGAGAGTTGCTGTAGGAGCTCACGATCCAAAGTTCATCGAAGCAGCCACGCATTGCGACAGCCTTGTAGACTCTTTAAGCAGATCAGAGTCTCCCAGAGATCACAAGCAGTTCCACCGGAGAAAATCTCCCAAACAACACTGAACAAAACAGAATGACTTCGAGAGTGTATAAATCTGTAGTGGAGGGAAGGTGGGGTAGGGGTCGGCCTAGGAAAGGTTGAAGGGAGG